CTCCGTAATAGCTATTTGCGCGTGTCTAATATTTTAAACGCATATGTACAGAATCATATATAAAAAACAATGGTACACATGACTACAAGTACAATAGACGACGATGTAATAATTATACAAGGACTCGAAAAAAGTAAATAACCTCTCAGAATAATAAACTGTATACGAGTGCTGTTTTGGTATTTTTCTTTGTGTTGTGGATTTTCTTTAATTTTCGTACTTTTCACTTTCGAAATCGTTATTATTAATCGCACGATAGAAATAGATGCATGCGGCATCCGAATATTAACGTTTAAAATTCAATAGATAATACAGATATACATACATATACACATACACGATTAGCAGCTAATTCCTCTGATTTGTTTTTATAGATAAACTATAATTGTGTTCGTTTTTAACGGTCGCTAAGAGTACGGTGAAAAAATGGTACTTGAAGATCACACAGTTCTTTTTATTAATATCATCAATATCCCCCTTTTTTTACTACACGATATATGAATGCTTGATGTATATGTTTAATGTGTATTTAACTGATACCATCAAATGTACCACTAGATTAACCGTACTCTTTTCGACATATATTCATTTAATATTTGTACAAAAGCGTCCGATTGGTTTTGGTACTAAAAATAACCTCGGATCGCTATTCATCTTATTTGTGAGTGCATCTTTGTATTATCTGTGCAACTCGATTGCAAACAATCTTCCATGAAGTTAATATTTATTTTTTCATTTACTTATTCTTTCTTACACTGCATGTTCTTGGCGCTCGCTTTGATATATATTTCCCATAAAATTGGAAAAATATTTGTTAACATGTTTCTACTTACATATATTTGGAATTTCGTTATGCTTTCCTGTGGAACATCGTGAGATCAATCCTTTTTCTTGTTTAGCCTCTCTTTCATTTCTTGTTTGATACGATGATCAGCTCTCATTGATAGTAACGTATTTTTTTAATTGTTTTTCCATGATATCAACAAGTATATGACACATCGAAGGTCCATTTTGATGAGGCCTTCTTCTTCGTATCGTCTTATAATGTTTTATTCTTAATATCTATCAAGAATATTATTATACTCGTATATAATATTTTTTTCCATTAATATATTCATTGATGAGAGGAACGATCATTAAATGTTACATTTTTCTTATTTTGATCGTTATGAAACCACCACTATTAACCATAAACTAACTGCCTCACGAGGAGTTTTCCATGGAAAAACCAACGAAAACTGTTTCAATCTATTTCGGTAAATAAAAATAGGCATGATTCATACTTAATTTAGATATCGCATTACGGAATCAAGAAAGACGTTCTTAACTATGGCTTGTCGCGTTCTCATGAGAATTAATAAAATCATTATAAAGGAGAACTTATGTGCGTTTTTACCCTGGCTATTTATATATTGGAACTGTGTGATCCTTACCTGACAGGTAATATTGCATCCATCAATTACTGACTTTAAACTACGAATTTATACATGTCCACCATTTGATGTTACATCCGTAGTTCTCGTAAAAACAATTCTTATAGAAAAATAAAGGATATAACTTTATAACTTTACTTCTGAGAATGTAGCTCGCCCAGAAATTGTTGATGATGTTGATCGGTAGCGTACGATATCGGGGAGTAATCTTTTCTTGGTATAAATTAGAATTTACTTTTGGTCGCGAAGGACCAATGGCATGATAACTTCCCTGCTATCACCATCAAGAGGATTTTTAACAACTGTAGGTAAATCTGCATCACTTAATGGTTCCCATTGGCTTCCCATTATTTCTTTTATTTCCTATATGATTAAAAATAATTTTAATGTTTTATAAAATAATTAAAGTTATAATAAAACATTTTAAATTCTAGTTATAATTTTATTGAAATTAAAACTATGTTCACAATATTAAAAGTAGAAACTTACATGTGTGATAGTTTCAGCCTTATACCAAGATTCAATGCCAGATGTAATAAATCTTTGTGCAAATACTAATGACTTAAGCGAATGTCCCCGAAGACGTGCAATAGCTAATAAGTTTTCCTGATGATATTTGTGGCCTAATAATACAATTTCCACAAGCTTAGTACATTTCCATGCAACTAATACTAATGGATCAGGGCTGCAGTAAAATATTAAAATCCATTTATTAATAAGAAAATTAAAAGATAAAAATTTAATAAAAGAACATACCTATGAGGATAACTTGGATCATATGTTGCTGGCATATTTCTTGTTGTAGGTTGCACTGAATCAATTAATATTAAAGATTTTAAAGTACGTGAATACCATCTGGATAGCCGATGCAATGCTCTGATATTAACAGTTTCACAAAATAATACTTTCAAATGTGTAAGAGGCATGGAAGGACGAAGTATATTTGTATCTAATTTCTCAATTCCAACATAAGAGTGTATAAGATTTAATCGCAACTCGCATTTTGGACTAAAAATAAAAAACATAATAAATTATTTTCTAGTATATAGAAAATATGTAGAATTTAATGATAAAGAATATAAATACAAAAATATTTAAGTTTATTTATTAAATTGCGATTAAATAAATATGTTCAATAAATATTCAATAAAGCAAAAAAGCAATAAAGAAAAAATCAAAATAAAATGAATAAAGCTGTCACTTCATCTCTATTCTCATTTCATTTAATACAAAGTTAAAATTTTTATAAATTTAATAAATAAGTTTCAATCAACCTTTTTACATATCAATTTTTAAGTTTGTTTGGCTTTTAGAACTAAAAAATCTCCAAAGATATTCCAAGAATATTTTAACACCATATATATTTTATTAAAATAATAATAGTTAATAATATCATAACTTACTTTTTTTGAACAAAAACTTGCCAACTACTATCAGTTGGTCCCGTATACTGATAATGCCAACCATGCACGTGAATTACAAGTCTTTCCATTGTACCGCTATTCAATGCCTTTAGTAAAGAATCACTTAGGAACTCATAATCCAATGTTAAAATAGATAATCTAGCGAATGAATTGAACATATGTCCATAACCAGAATTCAAAGCATTGTAATCATCAGGATCATCTTTAACAGATGCCAAACTAAGAGTTGTTAAGTGCTTTGCTTGGCAGTTACGTAAATGTACCAGAATTAGTCTGGCATTTCCTGTTAAATCTTCTATGCATCCCAAACTCAAAGCTTCTAAATGATCAGATCTTTTTATAATGTTTATAAGAGAAGATACCAATTCTTTAGTGCATTTTGTACTATCTTCGCATTCAAAGGTACTATTGCTAGGTTTCAAAAACAATTTACGAAGTTGTCTATTATGTTTTAGTTTTCTCAAGAGGGCTAATGTTTCTTTTGCACAATAATTTGATATATCACAGATGATTGTAACTTCTTGCACACTAAGTTCAAAATTGTCTGCCAAATATCTACAAGAAAATAATATTAAAATAAATATTATCAATGCTTAATATATGCTATGTATGAAAAATTTTATAAATACCGAGACCATGATGCACTTTCTTCATCTTTCAAAACAAATGTGATCTTTTTCCAAAAATGAGGATGAAACAGAGCATATCTCCAATTTTTGCAGACCTATGCAAATTCAAAAATTAAATTATTTCTGCAAAGGTAATTTTTATGCATTTAAGTCATTCTTTCTATCATTGTAATTATAAAGATGAATATTCAAAATGTAAACAAACAATATAGAAATATAATAAAAATAGTAATTGAGATTAATACTCAAAGTAAAGCTTTAAGCAAAACATAGAAAAATATGAATCTCGACACAGAAATTTAATTACCCACTGTGTCAGGTCAAAAGTTCACATTTCAAGGGCAAAAAAAATTCAAAATACCTGAGATACTCGTAACCGGCAGTTGTGAGATAAATATGAGTATATTTCCTGTAGGATAATGCTGGGCAGATTATTCCAGCACAGATTATTGTCCTCTTGCGCCATTTCTGTCGTACGATTTGCACCTTTGTAGGACGAACAGCTGTTTGCCTTTACTGAAGACAGCTGCCCCTCGCACTTTTTTGACACTGCCTTCTCTGTCGCGTCACTCTCTATCGGGTTTTTTAACTGTTCCAAATATACAACATCTCCATTTTCAGCGCGTATCATGTTTAATCTGTGTTTGGAGATCTGTATCCTGCACTTTCCTGGCAAATCCTTTCGAATTGGCCACCCGTTTCCTCGAGGTGAGCCCCCTCCACGAATCAAAATAAGAACCTGACGTGTATTGTGCTCTACTCGTAACTTCCAACCACTCCAACTGCCGTTCTCCTATGTATGCTTGTACGCATGGTACGCGTCAAATTCTTCTTTCTCATTAGCTAACAACTACGCATGTCAATTGTGCTTATAATATTTAATATTATATATAAAGTCATTGTATATTAAAGATAAGTATTTGAAGATATATAAATTATATAAATTTTAGGTTTTAATTATACAAATTGTTAATTAATTAAATAAAAAATATTATTTATAAATTGAATAAATACAAATATCTCATATTAAAGTTGTCTGTTATTTTGTCATTTTGACAATTGTTATAATTTTTATTATACTACATTATACTAATGTAGACAGTGTATGTAAGATATGAAAATAAATGTTACTACATACAAATAATAAATATAATTAATATGATAAATCATAATTTCATAAAACTTTTAGAAAAAATTTAAAATATAAAAATAATTTTATACTGCAGATTTATCATATATTTTAATTTATAATAAAAGATAGCACTAGCTAAATTAGTTTAATATAGAGAATAAAGAAATTTTCAAGTTTTATAAAAATTTTTTTAGAATTTCTTTTACAAACAGAAAATAACTTTATATACATATATATAAAAAAAATATAGTATTGTATATATAATAGTATTATGATATTTTGTAATTATATTTAATCATTATGCATAAATATATTTTCAATGTTTTTAAATTTTATATATATATATATATATATATATATGTTTTATATTTGTATGAGTGTACCGCAAACAAGAATTGAAGTAATAACGAGTTGAAACGTTAGTGTTATAAGCCGGGTCAACATGGAACCCGTGATTAAATGTCAATGTATAGTGCTTCGCTGTTTTCCTTCCTAGAAGTTTTTACAAATGACACAGAATAATGAAGCGCTCGAAGATCCAGATGATAAAAGTTTTTATATTTCTGTTGATCTTCCAACTAAAACAGAGCGCAGTATGCAATGAAAGTTTTAGGATAGGCAGGGATATACCTGATCCAACGGAAAACAAAAATGTTGAAACAGTAAAAAAAGATAACGCACATAATTCTTTAGATGGAGAAAAATACCAACAAAATGCAGTATTATCTGGTGGCACAACGATACTAGAGAATAATAGAACGGTTGATAATATAACCTCAAAACAAACAGATGATAATAAAACTGCACATACCACAGAAACGCGAAAAGAGGTTGGTATTTGAAATTTGATTAAAAAAAGAATAAGATTTCTTTGGAGTGATATTTTTTTAGTTTCTATTATTCTTTTTTAAATTTGCAGTATATCTAACCAAAATGGGTTTGATTTCATATACCTAGACATTAACAATTATTACAAAAGCTCTACTATATCATTAATAATGTGAATTTTCAACAGCATGTGGGTGAAGGACATGCAACTTCTTTAAATGCTGGAGCTCTGAAGCGTGGTTTTTATGTGTTTGTGGGGCTAAGTGTTCTTGTCTTGGCCTATATCGTGTTCCGTAGCTTTAGGTACTTAGCATTTATATTAAATTTTATTTATTTAACCATAGATGTTTTAAAGTTAATCATACATGTTTTGAAGTTAATCATACATGTTTTAAAGTTAGTATTAGCATTTTTAAATTAAAATAAAAATTTAATTTTTGATTAAATTAAATTTTTTTTTATATATTATAAATTTTTCTTATATATAGGTTAAATAAAACACGTGCCCAAATGGTCAGAAAATATGGTGTTCTCGCACATAGACAAGATGTTGAGATGCGACCATTACCATTGGATGAAGAGGATGATGAAGATACTACTGTTTTTGATGCTAGTAATGTTTTAACAAATAATGTTCAACATCAAAATTTATGAAAATAAATAACATAAGATATATTAATTATATTGTCACAAATTTTAAGTTATATAAAAATTATAAATATTTTTTCAAAATATGGTGGTATTTAAAAATCAAAATAAACATCATAACTTTTGTTATATATCACACAAAATTGTTTGCTTGATTTGTGAAATTTTAACAATCAAATATGCAAAATATTTAAAGGTATGTTTGTCTTTAAAAATTATATTTCTGGTAATATTATATATTTTATTATATGAATGGAAATGAAAATGAAGTGATCTTATGAAATTTTTTTGATTTCTTAATTTAAGTAAGTGATAAGAAAAAAATTTTAAGTACCCATTAAACAAATGAATAATGGGTATTCTACTATCTATATCTACTCTTATACAAATTATATTTTACTTAAACTGTGTTGTTATAATTGAAATTATACAAATACAGATTGTCTCTATTTTATTTAATACTACATTTAATAAATGTTATGTATAAAATGCATTTATTTTTTTATAATTATAAAAATCCGTTTTGAACACCATGTACAATAACAGAAGCTAATCTGAGCCTTCCATCTTTCGATTTAATATTAGACAATGTCCATATATTAGCTATATCTATATCTTCTTCATGTGTATTATTATTTGGAACATCTAATTCAAATGCTTCTGATGGATCCAATAGACTCATTGGGATTAGTTCCATTGCATATATTATACCAAATATAAATTTTTTTTTTACCTGTAATTGTTTGATTTAAATAATATTACTAAATAATTATGATAAGTTATGATTATTAAAAATTTAATGTATGATAATTTGATTCTATTTACCTCTTTCATAAATGTATCCCATGAATATAATTTTTCAGGATTTGAACCAAGCAAATGAATGGCATTAGCCAATTCATCATAATAAAATTTTAATAATATATTGAAATTTTCATACCAAATAGATCTTTCAGTGCAAACATAAATAAAAGGTGAAACATCTAAAACTGGACTAGTACATCTTGCTAATTGAAAATCAAGCATTATAACTTTCCTTTCAGTTGTTATATTAATCATATAATTTGGAATCCATGAATCACCTTGAGTAATAACAGATGTTGAATGATATTTACGATTGCATAAATCGATTCCTTTTTGATATAAATCATTGGGTTTATAAGAATTGAATTTTTCTTCTGCTTGACTACCAGGATATTCCATAGCCAAAGCATTTTTACTAATATCTATCAGTCGTTTCTGGAAATAGATAAAATTAATAAATTAACATTTTATAATGCAATATATAATATTTAATATCTAAATTGATAATTTTTATTACTCTTACATGAAAATTTTTATACCAATTCCAATGTTTATAACTAAAGTATGTTTCATTTACATGCTCTATAATTTGCATAAATGTCTCTTTTTTTTGATCTTTTAATGCAAAGGAAATTGCATGAAATTTTGCTAAAGCTTTTAAAATTATCATGCATAGATCTTTATCAAAATAACCTCGTCGATCTATTGTTTTATATCCTGAAGCACTAATATCTTCCAATGCTATGTAATCATTGTCACCATCACTAAGAGAAGAATAATGACGTGGAATACACAATAATTGAAGTTGATTTTTTTCTTTCAAAAACTCTTCAAATTTTGGAACTATCTAGAAACTCTATGAAATTAAAAAAAGAAAAAGCTTATATATTAAATTGTAATTATAATGAAACAATTTTTTACCTTTGTATAAAATGCAATTTCATTGCGAAAAAATTCTGGACTTCTATATGCATTTCTTCTACTTATACTTGTTGGTAAAGATTTGACCACCAAATTAACTTCTACTTCCTTTCCATCAATAGCACTAGTTACTTTAAGTTTATTAATAATTGATAAATAATTGTCTCCTTTCAAATTGTGTGAAAAAAAATCCCAACTTAATATATTTATTTCTTTTCCATTATATATAATATGCAATATATTTTTTAATGTTTCTTCAGTAAAATAAGTACTTATTTCCTTTAATTTTGCATAATTCTTATTGATATTTGCCATAATTTTTTAATTACTAGAAAAAATAATTTTGTGTAATTCTCTTATATAAATAAGCTGTTTAATATCACAATCCATAAAATTATACAATTATTTATCAAGATTTTATTTATCAACATATTTACCTGTTATCTGAAATTGATCTTGCAATATCTTATCACAAATATATTTATATTTTTTATTATTAATTTTTATAATTCTTTATTGCATTATAATATAAAATATAATTATAATTTTAAAATCCTATTTGTAAAATAATATATAGTATGATATATCATATATTCTCTGAAACTTTCTCTGAGTAAAAAGCTACTAATAGTAATAAAAATTTTACTAGAAATTATTAATTATGAACAATTAATAAAATTTAAATCTCTTAAAATAAATGTAAATAATATATTTACATTATATGATAATTCCATCTTGATATTAAAAATTAATAAATTAAGAAATATATATAATTTTTTTTTATTAAATATTTTTTATATGCTCTTATATATATGAGTATATATTCAGATTAGAAAAATTATAAGTTAAAAATTATTTCTTAAAAAAATATATATTGCAAAAATTTTGTAAAATAATAAAAATAATAAAAATGATTAAATATTTTTTTAATAAGTATTAATACGTAATAATTTATTAAATTTAATTTATAGTTTTTGCTAGCTTCTATAATTTGCACAATTCTATATTAATATTTACTCACAAGATATATAATTTATAATACGATGATTTATAAGTTACAATACAAAAATAATTTATATAATTTTATATTTTGAAAACCAATTTTACCGCCTTTTCGTTTTGAAAATATGAATTTATCTTACAAATACAATTTATAAATAATGATTAGTGTGAAAATAGGAATAATATCTTAAAATTTCTATCTGGTTAATTGTTATTTAAAGTACTCAACACATATTATATATATAATGTAATATTGCATATAATATTATATTATATATAATATATATAATATATTAAAAAAAAAGAAAAAAAATATAAATATATGCATTTTTATATTATATTTT